TTTACACATCTGCTTATAACCGTATTGTTATATTTTTTATTTTCCTTGAAATATTTGTCTAATTGGCATATTGCAAAGGCCCTGCATTGTGGGCAAAATGGTATGATAATCGCAGGTTGGTAACATGAATGACGACCTTGTATTGAGCACGAACAAGTGTCCGATTAACACTGGTAATTTTTCCGAACCGGTTTTAACCAAATATTACGTAAACACATTTACCTCATCTTGTTCGCGTTAAAATTAAAATAAATAAGCATATACGCTCTCTAAACCTAGTATTTGCGTTTAAAGCATAATGGCGAATTGAAAACAATCTTTTTTTTTTTTGTATGTGTACTTCTAATCCGGGAATATTGAGAAGACATTACTAGTTTGATATATTAAGTATTTACACAAACTTGGTTGACAGTTTCGCTTTGAAATAACTGAAGATAATTCAGTAAAACAATTTTTGAACGCAAAATTCACTAACATGTTTCGAGCTTGCATATTGTTCAATTTCAGAACCCGTTTACTTGTTCTTTCCCGTGTTCTTTCCAACTAAAAGAGGTAATGGGGGCAACAAAATACCAGCATGAGTTTACAATCCACTTATCACAAGACTTTAGTGAGGTACATGCAGGTGTCAGTGGGCGATAAGACCATGTCAAAGAGGGAGTGAATAAACACAGTCCTTCTTTGAAGCTTGTTTGTTTGTTTTGAATTTTCGCGCAAAGCTACACGAGGGCTATCTGCGCTAGCCGTCTCTAATTTAGGAGTGTGAGACTAGAGGAAAGGCAGCTAGTCATCACCACCCACCGCCCACTCTTGGGCTATTCTTTTACCAACGAATAGTGGGATTGACTGTCACATTATAACGCCCCCACGGCTGAAAGGGCGAGCATGTTTGGTGTGACGGGGATTCTTTGAAACACTTTTTAAAATTTCACTGCAGGTGACTGTAACTAAGTATGACCGCCTTCCACTAAGCCACAAACAAGTGGCACATGATTTTCGTGGCGACATTTTTACTTCTCGACCATCGCCCCGACCATCTGCGGCCTTACAACGCTATAAATCGGGTTTCGATACCCGTGGTGGGCAGAGCACAGATAGCCCATTGTGTAGCTTTGTGCTTAATCCCAAAATAAAAACAAAATAAGCCAATTCATGTTATAAATTTAAACTGTATTCTAATATCTCGGAACGTTTTGAAATATGAGAACTGACAAAAAAAAATCCTTATAACAGGTAAAAGTTTGATTTTGTTTTTCTTATCTATTTTAAAATCAAAGCTTTTGACTTCTTCGAGTCTTAATGTTTGTTTGTTTGTTACGGATTTCGCGCAAAGCTACACGAGGGCTATCTGCGCTAGCCGTCTCTAATTTAGGAGTGTGAGACTAGAGGAAAGGCAGTTAGTCAGCACCACCCACCGCCAGTACAAAGCTACATGATGGGCTATTTGTGCTGTGCCCACCACAAAGTAGCTAAACCAGGTTTTTAGCCGTATGAGCCCAGAGATTTTTTTTTGCTGAGCCGATAAAGTTAAAGAAAAAAAAAACTATATATCCTACTATAGTTAATTTTATGAAGTTTGATCAAACCCTCCACAAGTTAAAATCCTGAAAATTTGAAGATTTCCATAAGTAAAATTGTATTCGATTTGCATGCACAAAAATATAAAGATATTTACAATTGTGATAACAAAAATAAAAATCGTTGGGAAATAGAGAGGTCTTTGCCATCGACAAAGATAATTAATAAAGCGGCAATTTGGTATAACTTACACTTCCTCAATTTAATTGTAAGAGATCTCAAATTACGATTTTTACTCTGTAGAATGCGTCATTTCTATCCATGTGTAAATAACTATGAAACAATGTTCATGAGTGAACTAACGTCATAATGGAGTAAACCATAACCTATGGTGGCCGTGGCTTCTTGACACGTAAGGTTGAATATATATAATATAAGCAATACAACATGAATGTCAGGTAATGTGAAAAAGCCACTCATGTCGTCATTTAATACACCTTTTAAGATTTCATGTACTTTATTTAAGTAAATAAAAGGTTTGATACTGTTTAGAATATTTTTACGGTGTTTTTTTTTCTATAATCGTCTACGCTTCATTGATTGTTAAATGTGCAAAGTGAAGTTTTCTTAACTGTTACATATATGAACTGATACATACATAACTTCATTTTCCACAATACTAACATTCATTTGACGACCGTATATATTTAGAATAGCATTGCAGCGCAATTTCCATTCACTTTTTGTTTGTTTTGGAGCAAAGCCACATTGGGCTGATTGCTGTGTCCACCACGTGGAATCAAAGCCTAAATTTTAGCGTTGTATGCCCGTAAACGTACCACTGTCCCACCGGGGGACTCTATTGAAAAATGCTACGTCGTAAGGCTGTCATGTACAAAGCACACCACTCCTGCTTGCTTTTCATAATTCATCTAGTGTACGAGGACGACGGTTTCCCTCTGCCCGTTTCAACATTCTGATGTCACAGAAATCCATAGGCACTGTGTCTGGCAACTTGACTGGTATGTCTTTCTATAGAATGGCATTTATACCCGCTGCTTGAGATGTGTGAATGGATATGTTGTAGAAGCAATTTGTGTTACTTTCCAGTCGGAGATCCTTCCTGATTATTTTGATTATTCTTACCTGGGGCACGTATACGGCTTTTGCCACTAGCCCTTGTGTTCGTGGATTCTTATGTATTACAATACGACGAACTTTGCTTACCACGACTGGAGTACGACTTATTGCAAGTCTCTTTCTGGATGGACGTGGTACCCTAAGTTGATCCATATTCTTTTGTTTTCCAATGTCATTATGTACAAATAATATCCCCGTCTTGGAAATTCCAAATCCCTGATCTAAATATATCTTTATGAGCTGAATGTATGAATAGTTTGCGTTGGAAAAAGCTGTTGCAAACGATCAGTTTTCAGTGGCATCACAATAATTACGAACGTTAAATAGTGTCAAAATGTTGTTCTGAATAATCGGTTGTTGTTGTTACGTGGCTTGCTGTTTTTTTTTAATATAACATACTCAACCCTCTGTAGAAACATTGAAACCATAAGTAACAGTTATTTAGAGCTTTGAGATAATCTATAACGTGTTTAAAACCTTATATACAAAATGTTTGAAAAACAATGAAGCTACTAAAATCAAATGTTTAGTACGTGTATGCTTTAAACCATACTAAAATTTAGCTTGTAAAACCAACAATGTAAAGATACAATGCTTACTTATATTAGATAAACATGTGTACACATTTGTATTTCAGATCCATGCCAGGCGTAGACAGAATATACAAAAATTCCCACACTGGGCTCAAAGACAAACTCAAGTAGTTGGACAGACTCGACATCTCGCAGGTAGAGGGCATGGAAAACGTTTCCACGATCAGAAAGTTTCCACATCAAAAAAGGTTATTTAATAATATCTGAACTTCGAGTTGGTTGCTTGCAAATGTCTTAGTGCAACCAACGACCTGTTTCATCAAACTAGGCCTAATTTATATATCGATCAATAATACTTTCAAACCAATCAATGAATAGCTGTATAGTTTTATATACATTTATTTCATGTTACCTAGCTAGAATATACACGAAATAAATGCTCTGAATTGGAACATAAGTATTACCCCTGTTGTAATGTACATACAGCTAAAGCATCATTTGTTAATTCTAGAACACAGTATCGTTAGAAGAATCATCATACGAAAATCAGGAAGATAATGATTACAGTCAAGGAGGATATAGAAATCAAAGTGTTAATGGCTTATATACAAACGCCTACGTGTATAACTACTCTACAGATCCTCACGAATGCCCGCCATTCCATCAGTATCCCTCACACTTCCAGATTGTCGATATTCAAACCGGCAACCAATACGTGGTGCCTGAAAACCAGCATTCAACCACTGCACAATTAGGCTACGACAGTGCAAGTTCTCACGAAAGAAGCCATTTTGAAAAAAATGCCACTAGTAAAATAAAGTCAGTCTCTCATTCTGGTTCATTAAATCACTTTAAAAATCACTTGATTTCTGATTCAAGCAGACAAACTTACTTTGAAAATATGAAAAGATGCTACAGCTATGAGATACAAAATGCTCAATGTGATATCGAGAGCGAGAAACAGAAACAAGTAATAGAATATGTTAATTATTATACAGAGAACCCTGATAACGGCAAAACAAAGTCAGCTGCCATTTCTCATCCAAACTCATCTTCATCAAGTAACTACCCGAGTCTGAAAGCCGTTAATCAGCAGAAAATCTCTGAAAACATGGAGAGAAGCTACAGCAGAGAGACACATGGAAAAAAGCGAGAGGATAGTGAATCAACTAATTATTTCAAACAAGAGCAACAACAAATTCTAAAACAGCTCCGAGAAAGCGACTATCGTCATGAAATGCAAATAAATTATGGAATGACACATAAGCAAGAAGCCGGAGATTCAGGGCCTATAGATAATTCCACTAGCTCAGTAGACGAGTCTGGGAACGAAGGTGATTCGGAAACATCTCGAGAATCTCTAGACAATATTGTTATAAGGACTGGTCCTTTACAAACTAGTACACCGCAGAGATCACAGCCTTCTGAGACACATGGAAGTCAGGATTCGTCGAAAGTTTCAAGCAGTGATCATATAAATGAAGGAAAACCGCAAGAAAATAGTCTGAATATAGCTGACTCGAAAGAAGCTAGTATACTCACCAGACATCCTAATACTTCTGAAGGAGTATTTCAGGGAAAAGCACACTCTTATGATAAGCTGATAACTGGTGATCATGAACAAACCACTCTTAATTCTGTGTTTCGAACACTGTCAGTCGACGATCGTCGGATAAATAAGTTAGAAGAGTCTCAAATGCAATCCAAGAGTTCATTATTAAAAAATCTTTATAATGAAAAGGGGAAACCAAACAAAAATCGAACAGACCACTCTCAAGAAGAATCGGTTCCGATTACTGAACAGTTTACTGGCGTAGCTACAGTACAACAATTGCATTCTCAAGTTATGTTTGCCAAAGAATATTATATAAACGAAAAGAAAAGGTCTCAGGGGAAAATAAATGACAACACTGAGAAGAAACTATCAGTATCTAAAGACGAAGATACTACAATTATCCTGCCAGAAAAGTTGAAAGATCAAGAAATTCTTTCATCTGACACAGATAATAAGGTACAGTGTACAAAGTTTTATAAAGATATTATCATTGAATCTGAGCAGCGACTACTTTCAGAACATGAACAGGACTTTGACCCTAAGAGAAGATCGGAAATTGAATATAGGTCACAAGAAAGTAACAAAGTAAGCAATAAACCAATTGATGGATCTCAAGAGATTGTGATCTATTCAGAAAGAAAAAAAACAACAGAACAGGAACAGAAGTCTGAACACTGCGAAACAGCAGTTTCAGATGAAACAAACGCAAAAGAGTTGTTAAACAACCAAAAGGTTTCATTAAACAGAGAACTAATAGAAGAATCTGCGGATGACATAACCAACAATTTTGGACAACAAAATTTATCACATCAACCATTACGAACGGCTGAGACAACTAAGAAGAAAGATACAATCTTTATTAAGTCAGCTGAGAGGTTCCAGGAAGAATTGAACAATTACTTTGAACATAAATTCTTATCAGGCCAAAATCAAGATAATGATGATTCCGAAATACCATTAGTTGAAGTTAGACATGAATCCCAAAAGAATTCCCAAACAGAATATAAATCAATGGTACAAAATCAGGCAGGTCCATCCAAAACAGATCTAGTAAACCAGTTTATACGAGAAGAGGCAGGTCGATCAACAGCGGAAATAAGCATATATCTTGAACAGCAAAGGTTGGGAAAACAAAATCAGGACATTGGGAGTATAAGAACACCTTTAACTGAATATAATTCTGAATCTCGAGATATTCTACTCATGGAAAATGATGCATACAACAAAGAAGTTTTTCATACGTTACAGTATAATGAAAGTTTTGCTTCTTCTGGTCAAAATCAAAACTATAACTATACTGAGATATTAACATTGAATAATCTAAGCATTAAAGAAGCGTCACTCAGTCAAGAAGAACACGATAAAAAGCTTCACGAAAACATAGTAGCTTCTAATGAGCAAAGGACACCAATTCAACAAAATCTGGAGTCAAAGAAAAAACTAGAGATAAATGACAGATCTCGGAAAGAACCTGTATTTTATTCTAAAACGAAAACTCCATCCAACCTAAACAAGAGTTTTGAGAATGAAGGAAGTTTGCTTTTAAATAACGAACCTTACATTCGACATTTTTTACTGACAAGAGAGGAAATTGATGAAGAAGGACAGTCAGAAGTACATTACGTAGAATTATGTGTTGAACCTGAGAATTCCTTACTGTTAAGGGATGATCAATGTATTGAAAAAGAAACGTTGACAGATGATGACGTATTAGAAAACCATGATAAAGACGACAAAGAGAGGAATAAAATCCAAGAAGAGCTCGTAATCGGATCTGAAAAGAACCACGAAATACTTTCAGCAAATAAATCAGAGACTGAGAAGGAATCAATGTCAGGAGTGTTTGACAAAGACTCCACCAATCAGGAACCTAAAACTATAAGTGATACAAATATTCTTTGGGATATTTCAAACACAACTAACCAAGAAACAAAAGAGGAAGGAAATGAACTTATTACAGAATTGGCAAAAAAATATTCTGGGCTTAAAGAAAAGTACAATCCTAATACAACGCAGTTAATAGATATTCGTACAGAGGAACCTGGGGAAGGTGCTCCTATAAAGAAAAATAATATTATTGAGGAAAAGTATGCAGAACAATCCAACGAATTGTTAAATGAAAATAGCGAAAATATACTGGAGGAAAGGAATGAGGATGGTGCAAGCGTTACACAAGTCGACCACAACAAGGAAGAAAAACTGGGGTCGCTTAGAGAGTCTAAAAGTGGACCACAATACGAAAGTAACGTGCGGAAACAGTGGTCAGAGTATTTTTCACAAAATCTAAATAACTTACTAAATGAGTCTGGAACGAAAAATAATGAATCTTGCCAGGGGACATTTGAATATAAAACAGCGTCAGAAGAGAGGGGAAGTGGCTTTTATAAGACTAATGAAGAGGATAGTGTTGGTACCGTTGATAATGCAATAGAAAGTTTGGATTTTGGTTCACAGAGTGGTGATAATAATGAATTTTTGCAAACAGATGCCGCTGTCGCACACCAAAGTGTTAGAGTGAATGTTACCACACAAGATCGTAAATGTAACGCTTCAAAATGTGAAGTTGGAACAAAATATAGATCAACAAACCGTGAGCACCAGTCAAATGAAAATGCATCCATCATCGAAGAGTATGCTGATACAACTACTGATGATCAAGTCTAAAGTCGTCCCTACAATAGAAGGTATACATTAACTATTTGTTTAGGCTTAACAGTGTCACTACATCAAATTATTATTATTATTTTTTGTAGGCTCAATGTTCGTCATAATTATTTGAACTATTATTATTTAATTCCTAATCTAACAACCCATTTTTCAAAATCATGTTAACACTGTTCTTAATGCGTCATTTTTTTAGGTTTAACTTACCTGTTTTTAACATTTTTTTTTCGTAAAGCATGTAAAAAAACAATATAGATTTTATATAAGAAAAAATTGATTATTCGAATAAAGTGCAATAAAATAAAAGCCGTAACACTTCATGTACTGCCCTCTACTCACAAACTGAACATTTGTTTCAATAAACGTTGTGTGTAACACTTCATGTACTGGCCTGTTCTCACAAACTGAACATTTGTTTCAGTAAGATAAACTCGCGAAGTGTTGATTTTTCAATCTAAACTAGTCGGGAAAGTTTAGTGATGGCGTTGGTTATGTAGATGTTTGAAGAAAACCTGTAGAAAGAAAAATTCAGAAAATTGTATGGTACATTAAATCGTAAAAACTATATTACTTGAAAATAAAATATATGTTCTTATAAGTACCTATGGCTCAATACATAAAAGTAATAGAACAATTTAGTACAAGAACTTAAATTTAGGAGAAAATGAAATACAAGTTCTATAAATGTACTTTAGATTATGGTATTCACCTTACACTAGACCAAGTGATAAGGTTTTGTCGAAGAACGATCGTTCTGATAATTATTAATCATGTTTAGAACTACGTATTAAATGAGTATATCGTTGATCGGTAGCTTGTAATAAGAATTATAATAATTTACAACACATCTTTCTTTACTGGCCACATAAAGCTTATAGTAAGAAAATTGTAATAACAATTTAATCTCAGATTTTCCATGTTACTAGCCGCTGAGGCCTTTCGCTCAATATCAAGCCGTCTGGATTACAAGACACATACCATAGTTGAGATCAGGTTATGAGCATAAGGCTTGGTGAAGAACTCAGTACAATGTCCCGAAATGGCTTCTCCAAAACTACACAGAAGGCAGAAGCAGTCCACATAAAACTATTCAACTATTCAATAATTTATTCGACAATTGGTATCGGTTTGCGCAAAGAACATAATTACCAAAATCTAAGAGTGACCATTCTTGCAATGTTGTAAAACTCATGGAGAAGGTAGCCTCAAAAAGACTTGTGCAAGATTTGGAAGAGAGATATTTTCTTCCTATTAAAGTGAGAGCAACAAGACCGAAAAGATTTCCAACCTAAAGTGTTGGGGCACTCACACACAGCGTATCTGCTGGATTATTTGACCTTGATGTTACCTACAATCAGTGGATATTGACATCATGGCAACAAAACTAAAGGCTCTTGAAGTTTTGAACATTCTCATAGGCACTGTCAGTTGAAATCTGGCAAATGTAGATATGATTTTTTTTAATATCAGCTCTAGCTTAGCACAATGATCACTGCCTAGTGCTGTCTCTTCAATGTATACACAGATGATCTAGTTACTGTACTGGAATATCCCAGAATGACACCATATTCATATGTTGACGACATAATTGTAACAAGCAACATCTCAAACACGCCAGTAAAAGTGGTAGAAGGTCTGTAAAAAGTCAGAAAAAGCCTTTACTAGTAGACTATGGATAGCAAAAGTTTTATCTTACCAGATAAACCCTATTGAATGTGGGCTACCAAATCTCGCACACAACACACATTCTTTCTTTACATTGACAACCCTGTTGAATGTGGGCTATCAAATCTCGCACACACACACACACACATTCCTTCTTTACATTGACATATGCAGGCAAAAGAGTTCCACATAACACCTCGGTCACTTTTCTGGATGTTGTGATGAGCTGCAAATTGACAATGTCTGCGCATATTGATTATCCGAGAGAGTAATCAATAAAGAGCCTTACCCTTCTCAAATATGCTGCAGTCCAGGAAGTACAGCAGTGAAGCCTCATCAGTCTGATGAGAGCAAAAGTCTCGACCAGAATTAAGTATAGAATCAACTTGAAAGAGAGGGTAAACAAAGCGGTAATAAAGAGACCACAATTGGTCAATTCATGGATCGCTGAGTCCAAAAAAGATTTCCAGGAGATATGTTCACAGGAAAATATCAAAAGTATTAAGTGGGTCCAGGCAGATGGTATTAAGCTAGACACAATGAAGATTAGCAGTAAGATGAGGAAGGAACTGTTAGTACTAGCCAACACAGTCAAAGTCATGGATTAGATATTAGCAACAGATGACTCAGTCAATAAAGATGTGATTGCATGAGCAGGAACCGTGTGATGAGATGGATAATTAGTGTTAAATATGTTAGTGGTAGGGTGACCAAATGTCCCGGTTTTGCCGGGACTGTCCCGTTTTTTTGTTCTCTGGGCGTAGAAAATATCCAAGTTTTATAATAAAGACATCAAACTGTCAGTCACATGGAATTACGAATTTAATAAATAGGCCTACTTAACTTGCTCATTGTTGTAACACATAATCTCTTGACACCGGGCCCGACATGGCCAGGTGGTTAGGGAGCTCAATTCACAATCTGCAGGTCACGGTTTCGAATCCCCGTCCCACCAAACATGCTCGCCCTTTCAGCCGTGGGGGCGTTATAATGTGACGGTCAATCCCACTATTCGTTGGTAAAAGAGTTGGCGGTGGGTGGTGCTGACAAGCTGCCTTCCTTCTAGTTTTGCACTGCTAAATTAGGGACTGCTAGTGCAGATAGCCCTCGTGTAGCTTTGCGCGAACGTCAAAAAACAAACTCTTGCCACCAAACTCTCGAAAGTTCCATCTGTGCTTGGTGAGAAAACTAGGTCTGATTGTGGAGACAATTAAGGTAGTGCTCATCGTCAAAATATACTTTACACAGTCATGTACTGAACTATATGACTGTTTACTTAAAAAAACAAATCTTCACAAAAATATTTCTTAAAAAGTTTCAAAGTAATGCTAAAACCTAAAAAGTATTATCTTTGAAAACGTTATGGATTCCTAAATAAATCCAGATATGAAGTAGTCTAATTTAAGATGAATTGGATAAAGTGAATAGTTAAATGTTTCTTGGATGTATAATTGGTTAATTTTGCTCATTTGTTTTGTGTCTATAAGCAAAAAAGTAATTAAATTATTTCAAAAACAATGCCAGTGTTGATATATTTGGAAACATTGTGGAACAGTTTAATGCATTCAAAGTGAATTAAATATAAGTCAAATTATTTCAACTTTGTAATAACCATTTTGAAATTAGGGGCAAGGGCTGGTCTGTCCCGTTTTTTCGGTTTAGGAATCTGGTCATCCTAGTCAGTGGCAAAAAGTGAGTGATACAGTTCATTCAAATCAGAATGTGAAGTATACAAGGATGCACTTGTTTAGTTGACCACTAACAGTGAGGATTATGGCAGGATTATACTCCTGATAGTTTCATCATAAGATTGGAGACAGGATTTGTCCAAACAAACACTGGTAAAGCCTTTGAGAAACTTGAAGGCTCAACTGATAACGACCTATTCCAAGCCACAGTGACGTATCATTCAATAAGGAAGTGATCCACCTAGGTGGTAAGGTACAATCCTTAGGTGACCTCGTAAGATTTCCGAATGATGTTGCAGTGAAATGATATGTAGGCTAAGGGGACAGGAAAAGGTGAAATAGAGATCATGCTGGCTAACTGGAAGACTGAAGGAAAAAGGTTGGAAGTATGGAAGTGGATTGACCACGAAAGTGTGTAGAAAGAAAGAACAGTTACACTTAAATCGATTGGAATTGGGCATTATAACTAGAAGAACTTTAGGAGATTAATGGAGAAATGAAAGACTGTGCCAATAGTGTACCCGAAAATTTAAAATGGTGGATTAGAGTCAGCATATTTCTGTTTTGTATTTCATGGTTTTGTACTTCAACTGAACTTAAATATTTTGCTATCCAAAATCAAAAAATGGAGAGGGTAAGATTCGATATTGTAGTTGCTATAAACAACTGCATTTAACTGTTGGTTTTACACAGAAGGTTGAGTACGTTAAACTAAAATTATTTTTGACTTTATCTCTTTGTTAAAGTCAATGTCACATTGTCCAGTCATGCTCTGTCTGACGACATTACCTCTTGACAATAGCCCTGTAGCATTATGTTCATTGCAACTTCGTTGTAAGGCTATCATGTGCAAAGTACGCCACTCCTCCCTGCCTGCTTTCCAAAATCTATCTAATGTAAGAGGACGACGGTTTCCCAGCTCTTACTTCAACAGTCCAATCACAGAAATTCATAGTTGCTGAGCCCAGCGACTTGATCTGTATGTCTTCACATGGAATAACGTGAATACCTGTTTTATTCTCCATCTGTTTGGGGTATGTGACGGTTGGTCAATTTTCGACAAAATCACACTACCTACGAACCGCTAAACAATGTTAAGGTGTAATTCTGATACATAACGTTCTACCGCGACTTTTTAATAATTAAATAATGCTGTATTATTAATCCTCAACATAAAATTTTGAGATGTAAATGGTTTAAATAGGATTTATCGAATTTACAATTCAATTACTTAATCTAGTTCTTACCATCACAATTGTTTTTCGTAAAATTTAATAATAATAATATCATCTAGGTCATTACTATTTCAGTCGTATCTCAGCCGGTCTGATGAGCCCTGGTATTTGGCGAAAGGCCTCGTCGGCACTGGGTATGTCAGATGTATTGTGATTAATATATCATATCATATTCTCTGCTTGCACTCATAAGTTCTAAGAATTACTAATGTAATTTTCTTCCGTTGATGCTGTGGTTGCTTAATCAGCTCCAAGAATAACAAAAATAACCGGTACCCCAGTTATTCTGAATGATAGCAAACTTATTTCAAATAAAATAAAAATGTATAATCAAATTTTGAAAATAAAACAGATAAATAATATTGTGTTATTAACTCCTACACTAAAAATCAGATCTGGAAATAATTTAGGT